GGGAGGGGAGGGCCATGCCTTGTTACTTTTCCTCGGCTTTTGACACTTCCAATGAAATACAACCATTGGGGCTTGGTTACCATGGGGAGTTGGCCATTCCTTGTCTCTGGATTTCAGGTGACTCTCACCCTATATGGCCTGGATGGAGAGAGTGAGCCCCACCACCTGTCAGACCCTGACATCCCGGTTTTTGAAAGAGGAGGAGTGAATGTGTTCTTACTCTCCACCCTGTTCCCCCTGGGGGAACTGAGGAGCCTGCGGCTGTGGCATGACAACTCAGGGGACCAGCCATCCTGGTGAGTCAGGGGTGCGAAAACCACAAGAACCTACTAAGCCCTAGGCCAGGGCGGGGCACTGTGCATTTGCTGCCTTGCCGATCCTCACAAGCCTCTGCAAGACACACAGAATGGATCCCTATTTCACAGACAAGGAAACCACCAATCCAGGGGCCACACAGATTTGAGTCAGTATCTAGGAGAGAAACTGGAAGTTGCAGCCTGGGGTCCAGTTGGTAGCCCCCCCACCCTTGGCACTTTTGCAGTATCAACCTATCATTTAGCTCCTTGTTTCCCCATCTATAAAATGGGGACAGATGCCTTTCTTAAAGACAAACCCTGTGCAATAAGAGAAGACTAAATGAGACACTGAGCTGATTCTCTGGCAGAAGAAGCTGCCACTGCTGAGCACTAAGCCAAGGCCATCTTCACAATGGGACAAGTACTGTTACTATCCTGTTCTACAGGTGGAAAGATAAGTGACTTGCCCAAAGTCACACAGCTGGCAAGTTCAGAGCCAAGACTCCTCTGCATTCTGTCTGAGGTCAAAGCTAGTCATCCAGATGAGTGGATTCCAGCCTGACCACCCATCAGCGGCTGGCAGCTTTAGAAAAACACAGCATTTATATTGCTGTCTTTGATTTACCCGAGGGATTAAACATTAATACTTTAAGAGCCTCAGCTGTAGTTAGTTCCCGTGAAGCAGACTCTGAGATGGAACTGAGCATGCAGGGTGTTTATCAAGGAGTGCCTGGGGTCAGCCTCTGGAAAGGGAGGGAAGGAAACAGGATGAGCAGAGGGAGGAGAGTCTTAGTGCAGCCCAATAACAGCCCGGGTGACACCCCCCCCGCCCCCCCAAGGGAGCTCTGCAACTGTCCTGAGTTGGGTTGAGATGCCCAGGTCTTGATGATCATGCCCAGGCACTGCACCCATCAGTCACGGGATGTCAGCCTCCCCAGGAGGTTGTGTGACCTCAACAGACGTGGCTGCAGCATGCCTGACAGGGCTGTTCTCCCTGAAGTGAGAAAATGCATGTTAAGAGCTTCTTAGTATAGTCCCCATTATGCAGTAAATGCTCAATAAAGAGTGGCTACTGATATCATTACTATTCTTATTGGCTCTAAGGCAACAGGGAAATTGGCTGCTGCTGGATCTGACATTCCAGCAGAGGTGAGATTATTTCATTTCTTCCCTGGGCTTCAAAGACTAACTCAGGTTAGAAGATACAAAGTTCTGAGTCCAAGATAGATGGTAGGCTCATTCTCTGGGTGGGAAGAAGCCTGTAGTGGGGTCAAATTTTGTGTACTTAAGTCTGCACCTTCCTGAATACACATATTTAGACAGCTGGGCTTTCCTCACTTGTATCTGGATGCTGGCCTGGGCTTGCTGCCCTGTGTTGGGGTTAATAGTTTCAGAATGCACCCCCTTGCAGCATATCTGTGAAAACACAGCAGCCTTCAACAGCTGGCTCTCTACCCTGGCCGAGCTCCCCACATGAGGCCAAATTCACCCACTGATCGGGGCATTTTGATCAAGTCACCAAGAACAGTGAAGAAAAATAAATCAAGTATCCATTTACAGGAGCTCTTGTTCTTAGGCTCAGGTTTGCAAAAGTGTTACCTTGTCCACAAAAGCGTGGGTCCTTTCTCCAGGTATGTGAGCCGGGTGCTGGTGCACGACCTGATGATGGGCCGGAAGTGGCATTTCCTCTGCAACTCGTGGTTGTCCATCGATGTTGGAGACTGTGTCCTTGACAAAGTATTTCCAGTGGCTACAGAGCAGGACAGGAAGCAATTCAGGTACTTTTCCTTCCTTTTTAAGCAAATGCTCTTTACTTTGTTCTTTCATTCCTCAGAAGTTGCATCACAATCCAGTCGCAGTCAAATAAAATCACATTTCAGCTATCAGGACTGGGTAGCTTTGAGTGTGTGACATTAATGACCGATCAGTTCTTCTCGTTGGGATTGAAAGGCCCTGGAGGGACAGAGTTATCTTCGGGGTGGTGAAAATGGTTGAAACAGTTATGCAAATTTCCACAGAATATTTTTATGAGAGTGAACAGACTAATTTGAGTGGTGACTCAATATCTGGCCGTCTGGGGCTTCTTCTTCGTGTTATTTTACACTAGATGGATATTCCAGTGTTTGTCACTTTGCTTTATTTGCTTCCTTCCACATCTGTCTCCACACACATAAAAGCAGACACAAATGTACACACACGTACAATGCCATAGATTGCTGTTTATTTTATCTTTTTTAAAGTGGTGTTACTCATTATGTGTTGCCTTTTTTCTTTAACGATATAACATGAAAATCCTTCCAGGAGAGTACGTTTAGGTCAAACTTTCCTTATTGTCTCCATTATATTCCGTAGAATGAATGTCCCACAACTTATTCAACCATTCTCTTATCAGTGGGCATTAAGTTTCTTTCCAATATTTAAAACTCAAGGGGCTTCACACAAAAAAATGGCAAGTATGGAAATACTGAACCCGCATTCCTGCATGACACCAATATGCTGGAGCTGTGTACCAGCCTTCCTCTTACAGGGCCATATGCTCTCCAGTTTATCACAGTCCTCACCACTCCTTATTACATTACTTCCAGCCCACTTCATTCATTTACTTGACTTACTTACATCTACCTGGGCCACTTGAAGCATTTGGGTTTGTGACCTCTACTTTAAATGGCTTTTGAGTTAGGTTTTTTTTAAAAAGTCTGTTTCCAGTGGATTTACAGAAATGTGACTTTTCCTCCCAGCTGCCACTTGAGCAGCAGCTCAGCCTCCAAGGGGGAAAAATTCTGAATCAGAGAGACTTGGACCCCAAGACATGTATAACAAAGACATGAGATGGACTGCAAAGTCCCATATGCCTGCTAATGACTTGCTGCATGACCTTGGATAAGTCCCTCACCTCGTCAGGTCTGACTTCCACATCTGAAAAATGAGTTGCTCAATGTGCCAACCCCAAAAGGGACCTGTGCAGGTCCCACGAAATGATGTAGGTAATATACTTAGCATGTGAGTGGCTCAGAGTAAAATGCCCAGTTGCAGGAGTAGATATTATCCTCCAACTGCACCAAAACGTGAGATGCCTAAAAACTAGACAAGGAACTCTGTACAGGCAGGACCATGTCATTCCTCCATGAATCCCCAGTGCCCCGCAGAGCACCGGGCACATAGCGCTAGGATCACCAAATATCTGTTGAATGAGTAGAACAATCATGTGGAAAATCACTGCCATTGGCCACTGACCTCTCTCTTTATGCACCTTTACTCTGAGTTCAAGCCTCCCCCACACCCCAGACTAACGGTCCAAGTACTGTACAACCCTAGAGGGTGCTGGCACTGACCAACAAGAATAGAGTCAGCTGGGAACATCAGCTCTGCATACTCTGGGCCTGGGAAGAGTTCCTGTGGTTAAACTACATTGTATTCATAGAGAAATAATACGGACTAAGGAGAATGTGGCACCATTTTCTGAGATCCTGTCAATTTTAATTCTCTCAAACTGAGTCTGAACCCAGAGCCTGGGATTTTTAACCACTATCTTTTAATGCTCTAATGATAACAAATCCAATAATATTATAGTTATATTATTACATTAAAGTTGTCACAAAAATAACAATTGCTAACATTGATGAACACTCACCTATACGCCAGCTACTTTGCCAAATGCTTTACAAAAATTTTCACTTTTAGTCTTTTCAACTATCTGGTGAGGCAGATTCTGTTATTACCCTCATTTTACAGATGGGTAAACTGAGGTGCAAAGGGTAAAGTGACTTGCCTGAGGTCACAGTAAGAGGATTCCAACCCACTCTGTCCATAGTCCCCATCATTAACTCTAAGTGATGTTGTATTTCTTTTACAATAGAAAAACAGATGATAATTCTTAGAAGCAAATCCCACCCTCTCATCCCAAGATTGTTCCAGAGACCAGTCTTCTCCCATTCCTGTCTCCTTAAATGCCTGTCCCTCTCTCCCTGCCTGTCCACAGCCACCTGTTTTTCATGAAAACCTCCATGGGCTTCCAGGATGGACACATTTGGTATTCCATCTTCAGCTGCTCAGCTCAGAGCAACTTCACCCGTGTCCAGAGGGTGTCCTGCTGCTTCTCCCTGCTCCTTTGCACCATGCTGACCAGCATCATGTTCTGGGGTGTCCCCAAGGACCCAGCTGAGCAAAAAATGGACTTGGGTAATCCCCATTGTCTTGACATTCAGGGCTAGTGGCTGGTGGACATGAGCTGTCGCTGCCCCAGAAATGCCACACATTTCCAGAGCTCCCAAGACCACCCTCAGTTTCAATAACTCACTAGAAGGACTCATGGAAGTCAGAAACACTATTATACTCATACTTATTACAGAGAAAAAAATACAGATTAAAACCAGGAAAGGGAAGAGGCTTATGAGGCAGGGTCCAGGAGAGACCAACCGTGGAGCTTCCAGTTGTCTCCTCCCAGTGGAGTCGTGGACAGTGCTCATTCCTGATAATGATGTGTGACAATACAGAGAGTATTGCCAACCAGGATGCTCACCCAAGCCTTGGAGTACAGAGTTTTATCGGGACTTGTTCACATAGACGTGGCTGATCCTCTGCATGTCTAACCTTAGCTTCCAGCCTCTCCAGAGGTTGAGGTAATACCATGTGGCCAAGGTCTCCACCATAAATCACACATTTAGCATAGACTTTACAGTGTGGCCCAAGACCCCTGGTAAACAAAGGTGTACCTACAAGGCAGGACATTCCAAAGGCTTAGCGGTTACCTCTCAGGGGCCACTCAAGGGTCAGACCTCTCCTTGGGCAAGGTTAATCCTTACTGCACAGCCGCCTCCTCCTGGAAGGGGTAGAGGAGACGCTCCTACTGACCCTTCCCCTCCCTCTGCCCCAGGTAAAATTGAATTCACTTGGCAAGAAGTGATGATTGGACTAGAAAGCTCTCTCCTCATGTTCCCCATCAACCTCCTGATTGTTCAGATCTTTCGAAACACCCATCCTCGGGTCACTAAGGAGCAGAACACTGGGAAATGTGACGGGGGGTCTCCCAGTCCAGTTCTCTCACCACAGCCCATGGAGAATGGCCTTCTGACACCTGAAGTGGTGACCAAGGTATGTTCTGAACTGTGATGGTGTGGGAGGTGCTCCACCCAGGGCAGAAGTGGGGGGTAGGGGTGGGGACTAAGGCCTGGGGCCTGACAACCCATGTTGTCTGACAGCAACAGTCATCAAAATTCACCAAGTGCATATACACACACACACATGCATATACACATGTATACCTACACATGCATGCATACATACATACCACATGTGAGCCATACACAGAAATACATACATATACACACATCTACACATACACAATTTATAAATGTTTACACACATACACATACATACATAGACAAACACGTACATATACACACACATGCATACACACACACTTCTGGGGTACCTACTATGTACAAAATATTACACCTTCATTATAGATCACAGACTGGAGTCCCATAGAAGGGACTCCCTCTGCACTCATGCACTCAGTAAGTAAGCACTTATTGAGCATCTACTATGTGCTACACTTTGAGGAATACAGCCTGGAAAGTACCAGTTCAAATCCTAGAAGAGGGATATTACAGGTGGCAAATGGAAGCTCAGGATGGTCCAACATCATGTCTCAGTGGGTAGAACTGGGATTCAGACCCAGACTCTCCAGCCCCACATGAATGATTTTGACCACTTGGCTGCCCCCCTTACCTGTAGCTTACATCCCCTTATCCTAGCTGATCTGACTTGCAGGATATGTGGAGGCTTGTCAGCTCCCTGTTTAAAGCTCTGAAGTTGCCATCCCCTGCCTCGGGCTGGGACTCAGCAAACTTGATGGACATCAACCAACTACTGGCCTTGCTGGAAGACGTCATCTGTCTGCAGAACATGGCAGGGCAGATGTTCTGGGAAGAAGCCAAAGAGAGAGAGGACCCGTTAACACTCACTCTTGGGTCAGTACAAGTGAAAGGTAAGTCCTGATGTTTCTGTGCTGACAGGGGGCATGTTGGAGCCAGGTGGAGACAGGACTGAGGGCCATGTCTATATCATTAAGGGGTCGAGAAGTCCAACCAGAGTTTCCCTCACTGGCCTTCACTCCACCCACTTGCCACTACCTCACTCTCGGTACCATAGGCACCCTGCTCTCCTCACAATGCCAAGCTGCCTTTCCACTAAAGGCTTTCACACAAGCTGGTCTTTTAATCTAGAATGTTCTTTCTCCTCTCCTCCCTTGGCTAACTCCTACTAAGCCTATAGTATGGGTTTAAGCATCCCTTCCTCAGGGGAGCTCCAGCCACGTGCTCTTTAGCCCAGAAGCTTCTCTTACATTGCTTTCACATTGTTTGTTGCCAAATCATGAATTGTGTGAAGAGTTGCTTAAAGTCTACACTGTCCTTCCTGGAACATGAGCTCTGTGAGGTGGGAGCCATCTGACCATCTTGTCTCTATTGATTCTCCAGTGCCTGGTCCCACGCAACACATAGAAAGCATGCAACAAACACGCGCAAGGTGGCCTTAGCATAGGCGGTCATTATGGAATGCACAGAGCAAAAGGGCATGTTCTTCTGCATTTATTACGAAGAGCACTGGCCAGCCTCATAACTTGGGCCGCTCAGAAGAACCATGTCTGGGTACTGGCTCTGCCATTAATGGGCTGTGTAATCTTGGACACGTTGCTTCCGTTCTCTGTGCCTCGGTTTCCTTTTCTGTAAAGTATTTGGGGAATGCAAAGTCAAACCAGGCCCATTTCCAAATGTGTGGAAGACACAAGATGATGGATAGGGCAGTAAAAAACATTAAAGAATATGGACTCACAGAGGGACAAAGCTATTCCTTTTCCACTCTCTTCCAACCCTTCTAATGAAGTCAAGGAAAAGACTTAGCTTGGAACTACTGTGTCCTTAATACTGCTTTTACGCATGCTCATCTCTGTTGGCAGACAGATAGCGGGCCTCAAACTCAGGGCCTTTTGAGACAATGTTCAGCTGGAATTTGGTAGCATGGTTTCATTTTTATTAAGGTCCATATATGGCACATTGTTCTGGCTTGAACTAGTCTCTGACTCTCCTCATGTCCCTTTCCTGTCCACCTTCCACCCGGGTCAAAGCTGCCAGTGTTTAGACGAGGCTGTCTAATAGCACTTCCCACAGTTCTAGATCTGCTCTGTCCAATATGACAGCCGCTTGGCACCTGGGGCTATTTAAATTAAAATCAATTAAAATAATGGAAATATTGATCCACCTAGCCCCTTGGCTTGCTGCAAAGACTGAATTAGATCATAAGACACATGCAGAACTTAGGCCACAGCCTGACACAAAGCAGGTATTCAGTAATGGGTGCTACAATTGCGAGCACTGGCATCTTTCAGAAACGTTGCCAGGACGCTTGCAACAGGAACGCTGTTGATGCAAGAACCTTAGCTGAAGCTTCAATGAGGGAGTCGCAGGTCAGGAGGGCCTGAGGGGAGGCTTGCGTCAGAGGGGGGAGGAGCCCAGTGTTGCCCTAGGCCTTCACCAACACCTAGTCTGAGCCAGCCAGAGCCTTTCCACATTCACTTCTCACTAGTGGCTGGATAAGGATCATGGGGTGGGGATGCTGCAGGGCACCTGCTGCTCCAGGAGAATGTGCCCCTGGGCACCGGCCTCCCACCTCAGGGTCCAGGACCCAGGCCTGGTTCTTAGTAGTGATGTCAAGTTTCCCTTAGAATGCACAGGAAATAGTGGAAATGCACAGGAAAGAGTGGAAATGTTCAAAGTTCTTTAAAGCAAAAATACCACTAAAAAAATTTGTTTAGGAAGCAGAAATTTGAACAAACCAACTGTAGAAAAACATTCATGAGATAATTGGTGGAAACTTGATCAGTGACTGGATATTTGATGCTATTAAGAGATTATCATTAATCATTCTAAAGATTGATCATGATACCCTGGGTGGTTTTTTTTTAAGATTTTTGTTTTTTTTAGAGAGGAAGGAAGAGGGGGAGAAAGAGAAACATCAACATGAGAGCAAAATATTGATCCACTGCCTCCTGAGCCCACAACCTGGGCATGTACCCTGACCGGGAATGGAACCTGCAACCTTTCAGTGCATGGGACGCCCAATTAGCTGAGCCACATGGGCCAAGACTTGGTTTTGTTTTTAAAAAGGGACTTTATGTTCTATAGAAGCATATTACAAAATTTAGTGATGTGACATGAGGTTTGGAATTTGCTTCTAAGTCATCCACGTGGAGAGAGTGGGTGAAGTACAGGTGAAACAGGAATGGCCATGAGTGGGTAATTTTAAGCAGTGGGTATAGGCAGTTCATCTCATCATTCTCCCTACTCTTGTAAGTTTAAAATTTTTCACAATTGAAAAAGAGTTAAAAACAAAAGATTAAGCCCTAGCCGGTTTGGCTCAGTGGTTAGAGCATCGGCTCTTGGTCCCAGAGCATTGGCTCTTAGGTTTCGGCCAAGGGCACCTACCTCAGTTGCAGACTCGATCCCCAGTGCCGGCTGGGGTGAGTGCGGGAGGCAACCAATTGATGTGTCTCTCTCACATCGATGTCCGCCCCCCCCCCCCAACTCTCTCTGAAAAAGCAGTGGAAAAAATATCCTGGGGTGAGGGTAAAACAACAACAAAGATTAAAACTGACCATCTTTGGCACCAGGCGAACTTGGGTTCAAATTCAAACCTTGTACATATTAAGAGTATTTGCAGATGAGATAACACTTTGCCTGGGATCTTCTTTAAGGTACTCCAGGAAAAGTTGGGGGCAGAGTGAAACAGGATTGGCAAAATGTTGGTAACCGTTATGACAGGGTGGTAGTTGTCATTTTCTTCTCTTCTGTCTATGTGTAAGGAAATTTTGAAAATGCCCTTGATAAAACGCTCAAAGGAGAACATTCAAATCCTAACTGGCCGAGTGAGCCTGGTACCTTACCCCATCTTTCTGGACCTCAGATTTCTTGTGGCTTGGCACACAGTATGTGCCTGATGCAAAAAAGGCTGTTACTAACACTATTGTTTTTATTGCAGGCAGTCTGCTGTCACTCAACACCAGGGGATGCTCTTTCTCTCCCTTGTCTTCCAGAAAAAATGCAATGCCTGACATGTGGGATGGGCCCAAGCGACCCTTGGAAGAACAGTGTGTACAGGCAGTGTCTTTACCTTCAGCTGGAGCAGGTGGAACAAGAGCTGCGGCTGGTGGGGCCTCAAGGCTTCCCCCAGTGCCAGAGCCATGCTCGGGCTCTCACACAGCTTCAGACCCTAAAGGGCTGCCTCAAGGGACAGCTGGGCACTCTACCTCCAGCACAGACCAGGTAATCCACTCCCCTGGGTGCTGAGTGGGTACCTGACTTCCACCACCCAGCCTGGGGCCTGTGGGGAGAGGGCATCCAAGCAACCCTGGAAAGATGCTCACCCAGATAGACCCAGGCAGCAACAACTCAGAATTCCAGCACAAATTCTGGGCTGGAGGCGTTGAACAAGAAGGCATTTATATAGCCCTTTGTACAGAATTTTGCAGCTTATAGCCTTTTTTAAAAAATATATATTTTTATTGATTTCAGAGAGAGGGGGAGAGAGAGATAGAAACATCAATGATGAGAGAGTCATTGATTGAGCCCACAACCTAACCTGGGCATGTGCCTTGACCGGGAATTGAACCCCGATCGCCTGGATCCTAGGTCGATGCTCAACTGCTGAGCCATGCCCAGCCGGGCTATAGACATTTTTAAGTGGGATATTTCCTAGCTATGAGTCCTTCGACAAGTCCTTCAACATCTCTGAGCCACAGTTCCCTCCTCTGTAAAATGGGAATGATAATGCCTATCTCCTGATTCAAATTTAAAACAAAATACATTTTTTAGCATAACCAGTGAAATTTGTGTCGGGGAGAAAAAATGTTACTCTACCCTTCAAGGTTCTTCTGGCTGATTTGATAAACAAATTGACATGAGACAGATTAGCAGGGGGAAAACAAATTAAGATTTGGTAATATGGATATCTCCTGCATACATGGGAGAAACACAAAAAAACTGAGTAACTCACCAAAACAGCAGAAGCCATCACCTTAAATACCACCTTCAGATTAAGACAAAAGATGTTAGGGGTGGGG